AACAATTATTTTAGTAGAAATTTGATCTAGAAAATTTTATTTTTAGCAATAAAATTATATAAAAAATTGCTTATTAAATTTTAATTTATCTCTTTACATTTTATTTAATTTTAATTATTTAATTACTTTAATCTTTAATTATTTTAATAAATAATAATAAATTGTGAATTAATTAAACAATAATTACAAGTTAAATAATAATTAATAAATATTAATTATTAGTATCAATTAAATAATTATTAATTAGATACTCATTAACTATTTAATTTTAAAATTATTAATGATTTTAATAGTCATTTTGTTTATTTATTTACTCTTGTTCCTCTTTCGTGATGGCCTTTCATAGGGCTCCGCACTTCTACTTTTAGAAATTAAGCCCTGTTTTGTACAGTTTGGAATGAAAGGAGAAAAGTGCATTGACTGGTGTGTAAATGAAGGTTTACTTAGTAACCATTTTCGGGACAGTCCGGAATACATAGGATATTTTTTACTCTTATTTTTGTGAATTTATGTGGTGATGCCGATATACAGATTTTAGTTCAGATAATTTTAGGAAGTTTTTGGATGCTGTTAAGGAATTTTGTGTGCCACAGAGGTAAGAGGATATTTTTGTGTAATGCTTAAATGCATAATGTTAATGCATAATCCTTTTTTATGTTATTTTATTGTTTGGTTTAAAATGTAGTTTATTGATATTATGAATTTTTTGTTTGCCTCTACTGTAATTGGGTGCTCCTTTGACTTTTTAAGTGAAAATATATCGATGTGTACATAGACAAACTCAACGGAGTGCGCAAAACCTAGTTTGTGAAATTCTCTGATTTTAAGTGAAAATAGGTCAATGTGCATATGGATAAAGGGAATGGGCAATGCCGTTTTTCTGCAATTCTAGGATTTTTTTTTTAAGTGAAAATAGGTCGATGTGTGCATGGATACTGAGTTTGTGCAATTCTTTGTCTTGTTATTTTGGCTTTGTGTAGTGGGGATTTTTTTTGTGCAAAAATCGCCGCTATGCAAGCCAAAATAATAAGTCAAAGACTTGCACAAATTCGGTATCATGTACTGCCAAAAATTGCCAAGTTTAGCCAAGGGGTACCCTAAAACATACTTTTGCCGAATGAATCTCTAATACATTCATTTTTATCTTTTTCAAGAGTAACAAAGTTAAATTCATAACCTTTGTTCAATTGTCTTAATATTTGCAAATACTCATTTACAGACTTGCCTCTTTGTTGTTATCTAGATGCTAAACAGTGCTGGGGAAATATTTTGTGTCTTTTAGTAATCTTCAATGAATCTATAATTAATATGCGATTCTGAATCATTAATATACTGATAAATACTTGCAGATTTGAAATTACATAAAGAGGTTATCACACATGGCTACAGTCCCTGCTAGACGGGACTTTTCTGAGAAACGAGATTCTGGTAGCACTGGTTTAAATAGGAGGATTCCTAGAAAAAAGAGCCCCGCCTAGCTATGGAAGCAATGTTGCGGCTATGTGGAATTTTTTCAAACCTCACCAAAAATGTCTCGGGTCCTGGGTAGAGACAACCAATCAGATGAAAGTTCTGCTTCTGAAGGATCACGGGATCCCGATTTGAAGTAAGTGAGAATGGTAACATAGCTACATGTGTTTCCTGGAATTGTGCGGGCTCTGAGACTTGTCCCTTTTGACGTTAAGTCCTGCGCAGCCAAAACATTATGTGATTGAGACCTAAGAGTTATAGTTTCTTTTCCTCAGTGCTTCACTTGTATGAGGAAAAGGTTCTTTTCCAGTGTTTCCATCTAGCTTCATCTCCAACACATGTGGTTTCAACATCAGGTCTTTCTGTTTTCAAAAATTGTTCCATTTTTTTGTGTGTGGGGGGGAAGGCTCTAGTTGATTAACACTTGTATGAGGAAAACGTTCTTTGGTGGTCGTGTGTGCTTAATGCATGATGTAATTAAAGAAAATAAGAGTAGACAATCTCCTATAACAAAAGAATATATTAAGTACTAAATTACAATTTAAATTACATTGCAGAGATCAACACAGAGCTCGAAACACAGTTCATGCTAGCGTCGCGTACACTTGTGCGACGAGAAGTCTGAGTGAGTAATGACGTCGCTTTGCTGCTCCGATTAAGAACTGGATTTTACACGTGGCGCCATCTCATGAATAGAAGTTGAAGTATCTGTTGGAACGCCACAGTACTCCCCCCCCAAGTACCATCGGTACGTTATAAGTACTTTGGGTTAAATTTAACCTTTCTTCCAGATCTGGTGGTTTTAGGTTGCTCTTTAACGGGATGTAAGCTTTCTTCCAGGAGTGATGTTGATGAGGAAGTTGTTGGATCTTGCATTAGAAATGCTGGTTTGAGATGATCGATTCCAATCACTGATTGTTTGCCATTGCAGATGATGGTGAAATGTTTCGGTGTTCGTTTGACAACTTTGAATGGACCATCATATGAAGGTGTTAAAGTTGGCTTAATTGCATCGTTGCGCAGAAATACGTGCGAAGATGTCTCAAGCGCAGGATGTACAAAATAGCTTGGCTGGTTATGCGAAGATGCTGGGGTTGGCGAGATATTGCTCATGGTGTCACGTAAACGTTGAAGGAATGTTGGAGGGTCGATAACTGGAGTAGATTCTGGGTGAAAGAATTCACCTGGCAGACGGAGGGTTGCACCATATAACATTTCAGCACAAGTGCCCCCAATGTCTTCTTTGAATGCTGTGCGAAGACCAAGCAAGACTAGGGGTAAGGCTTCTGTCCAGTGTGTGCTACTGTGGCACTTCAGACTTGTTTGAGAGATCGGTGAAAGCGTTCACCACCATTTCCAGATGGATGGTATGGTGTTGTGCGAATATGGCGAATGCCAAGAAGAGAGGTGAGGGGATGCGAAAAGTGACATTGAAATTGTCGGCCTGGTCAGTAGTGATGGTGGTAGGCATGCCAAATCTTGAAAGCCACTGGGAGATGAATGCTCGAGCTACAGTTTCAGCGGATATATTTCAATAGGAATGGCTTCAGGCCATCTTGTGGTACCGATCAATACAAGTGAGGAGGTAAGTGTAACCATTTGAAGGAGGCAATGAGCCAACCAAGTCTAAGTGTTCACATGATCAAAGCGTCTTGCTGGAAGGTTAAAATTGTTGAAATGGGACTGTGAGTGTGACGGGATACTTTACACCGTTGACATCTAATACATGAACGAGTCCATTCTGTGATGTCTTGATTCATCGCTGGCCAGACAAATCTGTCTGCAATCAGCTTTTTGGTGGCACGGATTCCAGGATGTGCCAAATTGTGCAAGGCATTAAACACTTCACGTCTAAAATTGACAGGAATATAGGGGACGTATTCTATTGTTCTCTATGTCACAGTAAATTTTAAGCGTTGGATCAATGTGCAGCGGTTGTAACTGAAGGGAGGTTTGTGGATTTGAGATTAGGTTCTTGAGTTCCTCATCATGCAATTGAGCTTTTGCAATTTCAGAGAAATCTAGGGTAGTGAGGTTGATATTGTTTACCCGAGACAAGGCATCAGCGACACAATTATCAGTACCAGAGACATATATCTGATATCTGTACTAAACTGGGTGATGAAATCCAGATGTTGAAGCTGACGAGGAGAACATGAGTCAGAGTTTTTTCTAAAAGCGAAGGTTAATGGTCGATGATCGGTGAAAATGATGAAGTCGTGTCCTTCCAAGTTGTGCCGGAAGTATTTAACAGCACAGTACACAGCAAGTAGCTCTCTGTCATATGTGCTGTATTTCCTTTTTGCAGTAGTTAAGTTTTCTGGAAAAGAATGCCATTGGGGAAAGTCCTTTAGTGGTATGGGCTTGAAGCACTGCTCCTATGGCCGTGTCAGATGCATCTACCATTATAGAGAGCTGATCACTAGGTGAGTGATAAGAAAGTGTGGCTGCATTTGCCAGATCGTGTTTGCATTGCACAAATGCTGCAGATGCAGATTCAGTCCAAGGGACAGCTCGTTGATCGTTTTTTTTGCTATTCTTCAGAAACTCATGTAGGCAGGCTTGTGTTTTTGCGGCATTTGGCAGAAAGCATCGGTAGAAATTTAACATTGCTAGAAAACGCTTCAGTTCAGAGATGGTTTTGGGCTGAGGTAGGTTGTTAATTGCTTTGACTCTTTCCGGTAAAGGTCTGACTCCAGATCAGAAGGTTGCGTGTTCAAATCACGTCCGGGTCACCACTTTTGGTGGTCGTGTGTGCTTAATGCATGATATAATTAAAGAAAATAAGAGTAGACAATCTCCTATAACAAAAGAATATATTAAGTACTAAATTTAAATTACATTGCAGAGATCAACACAGAGCTCGGAACACAGTTCGTGCTAGTGTCGCGTACACTTGTGCGACGAGAAGTCTGAGTGAGTAATGACGTCGCTTTGCTGCTCCGATTAAGAACTGGATTTTACACATGGCACCATCTCATGAATAGAAGTTGAAGTATCTGTCGGAACGCCACAGTTCTTTTCCAGCACTTCCATTTAGATTCTGCTCCAACATGTGAGGTCTGAATCAAATCAGATAAAATCCTAGTATAAAGGACGGCCTCAACACGATTTTGAAAACTGTCAGCAACACCCAAATGACTCATTTACTACTTATCATAAATACTCTGTGTACTGCTTATCATAAAGTCACCAAATCCTGTGTGTACCGTATACTAGGATTAAACTTCACATTTTTCTTGTTTTAAAAGTTGTACTATCTTTCCAAAAACAAATAAACAAAAATAAAATAAATAAAGCTTAAATTAGTTCTAGCTGATTAAATTATTTGAAATGTAGTATATTATTTCTCAAAAGAAGCTCAAATAAAGCTTAAGTCAACTAAAACTGCACATGGAGTTTTCTGCATTATATGCATATAAAATACTTTTTTTGTGGAAATTTTTTTTGTTATTTTTAAACTTGTTACTGCAAAGAAAATAAAATGGTGTAATGCATATTTTATTTTAATATTTCTTTATCTGTTTTAGATATATTGCCAGAATTTAGTGATTGTAACCAAAGTAATCCAAACTGTGTGGTTGTTGGAGATGCTGCAGAGCATTTTTCATTTGAGAATATGAATAAAGCGTTCAATATACTTATTAAATCAAAAAATCCAGTTTTGATTTCTATGGGCAAAGGGTAATATTTTGTTATTAAGAGTTTCAATGGAAATCCTTTTTAAGTAATGAAGTTTGAAACATGTTGTCTTATGATTTTATGAATTTATTAATATTTTAATATAAAGAATGAGATAATCTTAAACTTCAAATAAAAAATTCATTTGAAGTGACTTTTGATAGTAGCTGATTTGATCATCAGAACACTGTATATTTTTAAAGTATTTTAGTAATTAATTTTAACGCAATTCACATATCTACTTATTTTTAGCTTTTAATTTAAATGAATAGGTGGATCTTCTGAAAAATTGGGATTTAAAGATGGTTTTTTAATATTATATTTAATTTATATGATTAATTTTTAGTAATTTCTGATTATCTGCATCCTCACTGAGAAGTCTTGAACTCCTCGGCGACTTAAGAGAGAATTTAGGAATTTGTTGCCAGCTAATTTTCTGACAAGCTGACATGTGAAAGCTATAACTATTTTCGAAATCATGGTGCTTAATGAATTTCATGCAAGAACAGTCAATCAGTAACATAGAAAACAAGAAACACTAATAATAAAATAATTACCTTTTTCAAGAAATCCTTCTTTTTGTTCTTCCCATCTTGTACACAACATAAAAATAAGCTCAAAATTTGTGGATATACGTTATACATCAAATATAAAAATCATAGATTTGAAAGTAAGGAAAACACGAGCATAAAAAAATTAGATTTATACATGTACTTAAATGTTGTTAATTTAAAAGAAATGACATACCTTATGAACTTAAAACGTTTCATTATCAGGTAGCATAAAAAGGTCGTCATAATGGTCCTCTTTTCCGTTTATGTTCAGGCATATCATTAAATTTTCTTTTATCTTCATCATCACTGAAACTCTAATCCATAAATAAATAATCATCTTCCATTCCATCTAGATTTTTAAATATATTACACTTTTTTAATGATTTTTGAATTATGTGCTGTTTAATTTCATTCCATGCTTTTATTGTCCCATCACACATTATTCTAGATTGGCATGATGCATTTGGCCTCCTTTTGTAAATTTTTTTTCATCTTCTAACATCTGCGTGTTATACTGTGATTTTAAGTTTGTTTTGAAAGGCTTATTGATACACACTTCTTAAGGCTGAACTAATTATATAAATCCATTTGGAATAACTACTGTGTTATTCTCTTGTATCAATTTCTTTGTATAATCTGTTAGATGTGATCTGAATATGTCCCAGATTAAAAGACTTTCTGGATTCTTTAAGGCAAAAGGACGCTTCTGCCAGACATTTCTTGCCCACAGTTTTATACCCTTCTCATCCATCCATCCTTTCTCATGAATACAAATGAAAACACCATTTGAAAAATGACATCTTTCTTTTAAAAATAACTGTTATTTTGTACTATCCACTAATTAGGAAAGCATTATGGCGAGGTGAGATTTTTTGTTTCCTATTATTTTTATGTGAACTGTTTTTGTTCCTTTCACATCAGTTGTTATATTTCTTATCCTATCAAACATTATTGAAGTTTCATCCATATTTTCAATATGTGATGGCAAATAATTTTTTTTGCCTTCGTAGGTCAATAACATATATCTGGAAACTTATCAATTCATTGTCCAAATCTAGGAAGCCTTTGTAAAATATTTGTTTTTTTCTCATACAATAACATTATTTCTTGTCACAAGTCAACTACACCAACTCAAAGTTGCTTTAAATTTTCACTTTTACTTGCATTCTTTTTTGCCCATTTTTAAGGCAAATAAGCGTACGCTATTTCTTGTCACAATTAGTCCATTTTGGTGATTTTCTAGGATCCAGTTCAAAATGCTTTCTTCTGGATAAGCCATTTCATTATTTCTTTGTGCAAAGTACATTTATTCTTTGGCATATTAATTATTAAGATTTAATTTTTCTCCTCATTATGGAGCTTTCGTCAACGCCGAACTTTCTTGCTGCAGCACAGTTTCCAATTTCTTTTGCAAATAACTTTGCATTTGAAACCAGCACTGTGTTTGTTTCATTCAGCAGGAGCCATATTTACTACTAAAAAGAACACTAGATCAACTGTATTTCTAAAGCAGTTGCGATTTATTGAAGCCATCAATGCTCACTTCAAAGGACTGGAGAAAGAAAAAATATCAGCGTCTTAATGTCACAATTTTTTTTGGGTTGAAAGTGCATTCTTCCCCAAATTATGTCTCCATTTTCTCAAAAATCTAGAATAGCATTCCTGTGCACAACTGCATTGAATACAACACACAGTGTTTGCAGAATTATCTATTCCCTCCAAATATTGTGTTCCCTTTATCATTTGTAAATTCAATATACTATAGAATCGATGTGTTCTTTTTGAAAGTATACAACATGGACTCTACATAGAAGACGAATTAGTGAGTACTCACTATGCCTTAAAGAATAAATACTGCAGAAGAAGTTTTCAAAAAACTTTTTATTTGAACTAAATTAAACAGATGCACACACTTGGTGCTCGCAATTTACCACCACTTGTGACTAACTAAATTAACAGAAAATAAGAATGTAACAAATCACTAATGAATTTGAATGTCTAACAATGGTCTCCTTAGCTTAACTTTTATTTTTAAGATCACTATATCGGCTGCACACAGCAATGGTGAGCCTAGAAATATCAGTATAAACTGAAATGTGTCTAACACCAACTAGAGGGCTATTTTCAAACATGCATCATAAACATTGGAACTAACTCCGCTACTACTCCTTTCGAGCTCTTGAAACCCAGCTTAAATACTGTTTCTAAAGCATGTTAAATCAGTATACTACATCATTACAAATTTACATTCCGGCAGTAAACTGAAATCAGGAGGGAAAGGAAAGTAAAACTAAAAATAATTAGAATAAAATAAAGTCCTTACAAATACCATTGTTCAAAAACCTGGGGAAAATCTTCGAATGAATGACATCAAAAGAGAAGAGAATTTCACATGATCATTTCAGTTTCTTTATAAAGAAAAGGTTCCAAATTATATGGAGAATATATTTCAAATTTAGAAAGTGTAGTTTGAAATTATTTATACACCAGAATTTACAGTACTTTTTATTATTTTTTTTCTGCTGTGCTCTCCTCCACATCGATTTACTTGAAAAACATTAAAGAATTACAAAGTCAGTGTTACTGAACTTCAGTATTGCATACTAACCCAAAGCAAACTTTGTGCATACCTGAGTTGCCATATAAATACTTTTTGGTGTCATTATTACTTTTTGGTGTCATAATCATTTTAGTGACATACTGATTTAATTCTTGAATACTTTTTCATGATTTTTTAGTGGGGGTGTTGATAATCAAAATGTACCCTGTTAATTTTTAATTAGCTATTAATAGATTGATGAGTTGTTTTCATACATATATTAATAACATATGAAGTACAAATATTTTATTCAGATTGTTATAACATAAATGATTGAATAATGTGCTTAGTATTCTCCAATTTGTATTTAAATTTCTTCTTAGGAGGTATTATAAAGAAAATGATGAATTAGTTATGGATTTAGGAGGGTTTACTGCAGCATTAGAAGTAGGCTGTTATTTTTTTTTTCATGTTTATATTTCTGCTGTATATGATTTGTAGATGTATTTCATTCATCAAAACTTTCTATTTTATTGTTTCATTTTGCTTTCTAAGTTTGAATAAAATGATTATATGCAGTTTGTCCCCAGATTAGGATTTTAATGGCATTGAATGATAGTGCCATTTTCCTTTGATGAACACGGGTGATGGAATGGATAATTTTTCTTGTTATTAAATACATTATTGTTGATTCCAACAGTGCACTAAGTTCCACTAATTACTGTTCTCTTTTCATTTTGACCAGCGGATTGGAACATAATTATTTTAGTCTCTCATTGTTTTATCTTCAGTAACTAGTTTTTAGCAGAATTTGAATGACTAGCAGAATTTACCTACAATAATTAAGTGGTATGGTTTTTTTTAATGTGATTTAACTTCTTTAAAGCCACTTTCCTCCTTTTCTGTAGTTTTATCTGCATTTATCATTACATTTATTACATTTTCAGCATTCTTTCCTTAATGATAAATATTTTAACTTCATGGGAAGTAGCATTGTCATGATTTATTATTGGCAATGTGCCATAATACTGTGAAAAACTGATGACTTCTATTTGATTACTTTCAAATTCCAAAGACCTATAACTAAGGAATTAATACAGAATGTTATGGAGGGGAGACTAATAAACAAATAAATAAATAAATAAATAAAAACTGAAGCAAAATTAATAAAATAAAAAGTGTGGCTAATAGAAGAAGGCTAGGCAGCAACAGGTACAGGTTGAAGCAAGGCCTGCATCTATGTATTTCCAAAGGTACGTTAGGCATCACTGCGTTTTGTTAAGTTTTAAACTGCGCCTCAATTTTGATGGATAACCCCCTGAGGGTTTCCAGGGTCTCACACCCCTCTTTGTCTACTACCAAACACTTGAGATCATTTTCGGTTTGTCATGTATTTTGAGTGCTTCCTTGCCACAAAGACATTACACTTACACACATCCTTACCTTCTCCACGGTTCAAACCTGGGTCCATCAGTATGACAGTCTATGCCACTAACTACTACACTGGCTGTATGGCACATGTCAATAACAGTGAGGTAGACATATGGCAAGTTCTTGTTATTAGTATGCATAAATAGTTATATACTATTTCCATTTATTAATATGTGGTCTGGTGTAGCTAGGCATTCAGACCAACCCTCATTCCAATAGTATTTATTAATATAGGATGAGTGGGTATATAAATGCATCCTAAAATTGGTAAGTTAAACTGCTAGACATGTATGATTATTAATTTATTTTCCTGAAAAAGATATTAATTTTTCATAATAATAGTATTGTTGTGTTTATCTTTTCTGATACCAGTTGTTACGTTATTTTCTTCCTTCACATTCGTACGGGGTTTGTGTGGATTTGGAGTGAATAACGTCGACAGCACTTGTGGAATATCCAAACACACTTTATTTACCAATATTAATCAGGACAGCTCCAAAGTCACGTTTTATAGTCATCGAAGATCTACTATATACACTCGCTGAAACAATCAGCGACACAGCCTTCACACTGTCAGGCAATAACGGTGGACACTGCAAAGCACCAGAGTACAGCTTCTGACTCTGCTCGGTTGTTCTTGGAACTCCACATACTCTCGAGACTCTCCACGCTACAACTGACGATGCACTCGACGACACGCAGAGCACAGCTCCTGACTCTTCGGTTGAGTCGTTTCTGGAGCTTAACACTCTCTCTCAGTGTTGAGTCTGAGCACTCTTGATGATGCACCAACCGCAATACACTAAGAGACTCTTTGATGCACTCAACTACCAACTCAGTGCTAGACTTCAAGACACTCGCTTAATGACTGACTATCAGCCCGCTAGACGAGGCACATACTAACTGATTGCGGGCCATCAGGGTTTATACAGCTTTCGGCTTGTGCTTGAGAACATTCTGGGCTAAACAGGTAAGAATTTGTCCCAGAAGGTTCTCCAACCGTCCATGGTATATAGCCAATTTTGTCGCTAAATAAGCGATTTTTCGTCAAATGTGGCACCATGCCTTCCCTTGCTATTTTATGGCAACTCTAAACCTGCTTTGCGAGAAAGGTATCCCACCGCACCGTCTTTACATTTCATAACACTGCTCCCTCCCAAGGACTGCATGTCGTGGGCAGTACAACCCTTGGTCAGAAGCCAAATTCGATAAAATCAAAACGTTTTAAAACATACCGATAACATAACTAAAGAAACAACAGGGTTCTTAGCGGTCCTTACAAGTGCTTATAAGTCCTTACATTTAAAAATAAAATATAAAGGCCCTTATAGGTGCTTACTTTTTCTTTAAAGCCCTTATTTTTTTGTTTTTAGTGCTTTTTTTTTGCTTTTAGTGCTTTGTTTTAAATCCTTTGTTTTTAATGAACGCACATTTTTTCCCCGTAACAAAGCCGAAACTAAATAAACAACTTTTCTTCCTTATATGCAACGTCAGATGGGGAATCATACTCCCGGAAATAGCTTTTCTCCATTTCTCTGCATTAACATAACCTTTGGAGGGCACGAAAAGTACAGACAGGTGCTTGTTATTCTATTGGTCAAAGAATTGCGAAAGCAGTAGAAAATTCCAGTACATTCGGCATTCTTTTCCTCCCACCCAAATACTACACATGTTTGAATTTCTATCAAGATCTTAATAATGTACATTCTCGTTTTGCTTGGTCAGTTCATATTCGTGCTTATTATGATCATTATGCTTATATTATGAGCATATGTATGAATGTTTATAATAACATAGTTTGCAGTAACTGCTGAAGTATAGTAAACTTCCAAAAATGGATAAGCGTGTTTTAACACAGATTAGCTTTTCTAATGAATAATATTTCCGGAATGGGCTTAAATAAAGGGAAAGTAATCGAAATAGTCAAAATAATTTTAATTTTTTTTGGCCAATTCATTATAAAGTACGAAGATTGGGAGGTTCTCTCCTTTCTCCGCAAAATCTCGAATATTGAAACTGTTACAGTTCGCTGCAAAACAAGCAATGGGCCTTTTTTTTTTGTCACTTTCCAATCTGGATTGAATAGGACTAAAAGTTCTGCGGTCTACCAGCCCAAGCAAAGAATGATTCTATTCCGGAAATTTAACGCCGTCTGTTGAAAATTAGAATGAAAAACACCCCAGTTATTTAGTTCTTTATTCTCCCAATACCGGCAGCTGTTGATTCAGATTGCGTAATGTCACGTAGGGAAGAATTACGGCGCACGTATTGTGCAGTAACATTTGCAATATTTTGCAGAGATAATTAATTTTGATGTTCTGTCCGAGATTTGTTTATGAACACTTTTTACTGTGCTTGCTAAGCAGAATATTTTTCAGTTCCATTTTTTTATTTTTATATGATGCACATATCAAAATGTCAAAAGCATTTATTTAGCGGAAAAATCTAAAGAGCGGCTACAATCTACCCCCTCTCTTCCGCTCCTCTTTTTCAAGTTACGCTCGACTGTCCGAATATTCTACGCTCGACTGTCCGAATATTCGCCAATTTCCAAGTATGTGGGTTAGTTAAGCTTTTACTGTTAATTTACTGCATGAAGCAAATTTCTGTCTTCTGATTTCAGAAATGTTCCTCTTTTTTACTTAAATTACTTTGCTTGCAATATCTTTTAAAGGAAAACTGATATACAATGAAAATTTAGAAAATGTTCAGAATTTAGATTTTAATTATTTAAATATCAGTATAAGTGGAAAAATAAATTGTATTTATTATTAGGTTCCAAGCAAATACAATAAATATTCCTTATTATTATTTATTTTCTCTATTTTGAACTGAAATTTCCTCATTAAATCTTGTAATATAGTTTAGTTCTGCATAGTTTTTTTTTTTCTCTCATTGTAAACTAGTTCTTTAAATTGAACTGTTATTTAAAAATTAAAAAAAAAAAAAGTAATTATTTTCCATGGTTGAGGTAATGCTTATTCTCTCTTAATAAATACTGCATTTCTCATATTTTAAATTACAAGTCTAATTTTTAAGGTTATGCAGTTGTGTATAATGTAATTAGACAGGTGCTTATTTTTTTCCTTAAAATGTGCTTGAAAAGTGCTTATAGGTGCTTATTTTTTTAACTAAAATGTGGCTATGAACCCTGAACGAACATTTTCATTACATACAAACTTTACACAGAAACTAGGTAAGAAAACTCACGCACAAGAATTATGGGTACCCCTATGAATGAGAAGGACTAAGTACTATGGCCACAGTATGGGACTAATCTGTCATAATGAATAACCTTGTGTTTGGAATTGGGGGATTTACGGATCCATATCACGACGTCATTCAATATGTTGAGGATTGTATAGGGACCCTCCCAATGTGACTGCAGTTTGTAAAAAATGCCCTTACGATGCCTTGGATTCCACAGCCACACATTGTCGTTTTCCTGGAATTGATGTTTGGTGGCTCTTGCATCGTATCTCTTCTTCATCCTTTCTGTCGAGATGTTGATCTGCTCTCGAGCAAACCTGTGTACTGTTTCCAACTGGGCCTGGAGGTTTTGCACATACTCCTCAGGCAAGGAATGTACATCCGGAGGGCGGTCGAAGAGCAGGTCACTTGACAGATGGAGATCGCGACCGAAGAGCATCTGTGATGGAGAACAGCGGGTGCTTTCATGGACGGCACTATGGTAAGCAAGCAGGAACAGGGACAGCTTGTGATCCCAGTCTTCTTGGTTTTTCGAAACCATGAGCAAGAGGTGGTTCAGGATTGTACAGTTAAACCTCTCCACCATGACTGCAATTGTAACGGGGTCGTCTGTGTTTTCATGATTTCCAACAAGTCGTAGAGTCCCTTGAACACAGCCGAAGTGAAGTTCTTGCCTTGGTCGGAAATGAATTTGGAGGGGGGGGTCCCAAATCTGGATACCCAATTTTTGACAGCCTCTTGATCTGGAACTGGGTAAGCTTCGGGCCACTTCGTAAAGTAATCCATGACAACGACAATGTATTTGT